CTTTGGACAAATAGCTAAGTTGAATTAAGAGCAGTCAAAAGTACAAGCACAAGTGTTTATTTCGGCTTATGTGTTTTTTTTAACATGGAACATGCATAAAAGTTCGTTTATACAAAGTCTAAACTGCTTGATGTTTTAAAGTCTTGATATTGCTTGGTGAATCTTGATTCAATGTGTAGGTGATGAGAACATTTTCATGGTGTGAGATGATTGGCAAACGGTTCCCTATATGTCATGTTCATGTGGATGGTACCATTGTTGAGGTTGGTATTGTTTCTAAATTTTTAACTTTGGACAGAATGATTGTGTGATTGCTTGAATTTATCCCATTGAGGGCTTTTGTAGCAATTGTATCAAGCATGATTCCATCTCTGTTTTTTGAGTAGGTATGATAATTTCTTCATCCCTTTTTATTAGGTTTCAAGTTTTAATACTGCTAGACGCAAGTTGGTGTGGATGCTTACCATGACATTAAAGGACCCCTCTGGCTGTGATAAGAAGGATTACCTTCGATGGAGGAATTGTTTACAGCGAGATTTTACGATTAATGGGTTCGTTGGGTGCTTGCAATTTAAAATGGAAAATCTAGTTTCTTTAGCACTGCAATTGTCTACTTTGTGATCTATATCTAGAATTTACTATTTATAGTTGTGCTGCTATACTGCTAATTAACTTTATGCTCTTCCAGGTTGATGTTTGATCCTTACAAAAAATTGTATATGATTACCTGGGAGGAATGGAAGATATTAAAAAGCTAAGTGTGCATATGTATCTCTTATCAGCTGCGTTTTCTTATATTTTTTTTTGTTACTGTCTATCAGGAACTTCCTAAACTAACTTTCTGCATGAATAGGTGCGAACTGTAATTCCCTGCAAATGCCTCTTTTCAGGAGGATTGTGGTGAGTTTTCATTGATTAATTGATGTTGCATTAAAAATTATAATTCACTTCACTATCACCTTTTTGCATAAGAATTGCCTTAGCTACAAGGAAATTTTACTGCATTTTTTGCAGCTCGTATTCTACGAGGAATTAGAATTGCAGGCCGCTTAGGCTTTGGCCTTTCCAAGGAACAGCTCATTTTGTAAAAAATCTTTCTTACTCAGTTTTAAGACTTGATAAGGTATATAAAGTACTTTTCTCCCTTATTATTACCATGCATGTGAATATTTTGCCTGAGCTGTTTCATATTTTACATTGTTTAGGGTAGGCTTGTGATGGAAATAAATTATATGTTAGCTTATGGGTTCTGCTGAAGCTTCTTTAAGGTTACTATGGAAATTTGGACTTCTTGATATCTCCTTTCCCTTTCAGGTACATGATGCACTTCTAGATATGCTTCATTTTTAATTTTATCTGTCAGTCTAGTCTGTTTGATTAATTTAGGTTTCCCTTGCAGGCTGCTTATTTTGTTCGCCATCGATTTCGTAGACGGGAAGGCAGGAACGAATATGCTTTTGGTATACCTTTCTGAAGTTTAGACTTTATAGACTGACATGTTTTCTTAGGTGAAAGGGCATAAAAGAATCATCAAACCCATCTCCCCCACAACACCCCCCCCAAAAAAAAAGGAGAACTCCAAAGGAAAACGTGTGTATTTGTTGATATCATTTCCTCCCAATTTGTGCATTGAGTATAAATTTTAAGTCGCAAATCCATAAAATGCATTTCTTCCGCTTTTGCATTCTTGAATATGCTGCTATTATGACTAAAACTGCAATATGCAATGTTTAGTAAGTGTTGTGCTGTATTTACTAATCAACAATTTAAGAATCCCAGACTGAGAAGCATCAGTGTAATGAGATCTTTCCTACTTTTCTTTCTGATTTTGATATGAAACTGCAAATCTTTCCTAGAGTGTAAACTAACAACAACAACAACAGACACAGGGAAAATAGTCGGTTTGATATTGATAAAGACCAAAATGCACTAAATCAGTTTCACAGGTCAGGTACTGATTCCAACCAAAACCCAAGTCCCGATTACATGCAGCAATCAGTCACGTACTGTTTACACTGAAATAGTACAAAGCATAATCAAGGCAGTGACTCTAGTGTTCAAGAGGCCAGAACGCTCCTCACAGTACACTTTTCTCCAAATTAGCCGATCTGCCCTCCTCTCCATAAACACGCTCACACCCACCCACCCACCCACCCACACACACACACACACTCCATCATATATACACACATATTTGTCAGCCTTGGGTGGGATGCCTGAGGATTTTTTTCTTTTTTCCTAATTTGGTTATGGCTCATCAGGTATTTTAGTATGAAAATATTTTTTAAGTGGTTGGGTGTAATTTAATCGTGTCTTTTGGAATTTTATCTGCAGTCATTCCTGTCCAATTTGGATACACTCTTGGCGCCTGATCGTCCATGTCATAGTAGCTTATGGTAAGATATATCCTACACAATGCCATTGCCTTTTCTTGTTTACCTAGTTAGCCATATGTTTTGGAAAGTCTCTGATTTTCCAGGAGAAATTGAGACAAATCATTTGTTTGCATCATAAGTGCAGCCAAATATAATTATTCTATAGGACAGCATATGTTTGAAGGCATAAATTAAATTTATGATTCTCCCTGGGTCAGTCATAGGAAATAGTTTCTGAACATTATTTTGCTTCTATTCTGGTTCTCTGGGTCCCATGGGATTGATATGTAAGTTGGGTCCATTGAGCAAGATATATCATGGATCTTTGCTTTCAGGGTCTGTATCCTAGCTTTACATAAAGCACTGAGTGATAAACCAAAGCGATTGGCTGGTAGGAATTTTGTGGTTAATGCTTTGAGTATCAATTCATGTTGTATTTTTTGGTTTGATGATTTTGACAAGTGCCACAAATTTCCAAATCAACTGGATATTTAATTATAACAAACTAATTAGTCAGGGTTTTCCCTGTTAATATTATCGATATATGCCTTTTGAATGACACTTGGTTCGTACTCTTATCTGTGTAAATTTCTCAGGTGTTCATCCCGTTAGGAGTCTACCTCAAAGCTCGCAGCATCTTTGACTGTGTGACAATAGTTGATGCTGCAAAGAGATTTGTGTCAAAGCGTGGCAGAAAAATTAATTACGAGTCCTTAGCTTCTGGCGACCTGCGGGAAATACGGCATGTTTTTGCGAGGATTGTATTTGATACTGTATACCCTTTACGCCTAATTGATCAACAGTCATAAATGAGTACGTCAAGGCTAATTTGAAGTTTCCTTTAGAAATTTTGTGAGAAGAATGATGCAGGATGCCATTCTATCAAGCAAATCAGATCAATTTGGAATGGAATTATGGTGAAAGGTTTGATTTTACCATTTAAGAGCTATTGGATTCCTGAAGAAATTACCATCTCATGGTCTAATTCCGGCGTTTCAAGTAATTTTTACGTTTAATCACGCAACCAGTGATGAAGCAAGGGCACTTCACTGCCCTGCCATATGCAATACCACGGAGTCAACGTAGGCTAAAAGGTCATTTTCTTTCGGTGTTGTTTTTCTTTTGGGGGGGAGGTTAAACTTTAAAAAGTAACGCATTCATTAATATGTTTTGTGGTATACTCTTGTTAACATCAATTTAATTTCTATTTTATGTCCTACAACTACAATGTATTCATGCATGTTATTGTAAATTTTACTTTCAAAAAATAATAAAAATTTATTAGTTGGATCTGTGGGCTCACTGAAGTTAGGCTGGTGTTAAGGCCTAAAATAAATGCTTTAAGAGACTGCTTTTCCGACTTGTACTTTGCTAAATCAAATTGTAAATTAAATAGCAGACGTCCAAATGGGTCTAGTCATCTTATTACCAGAAAAAGTGTTAAAAAAAATTCCTGAATTACTTTAATTTAGTGAATGATCGATGATTTTGGCCAAAAAAATGTGGAAATAGATTTACATTTTGTTTGCCTTGGTACTCTGTGTGCGCGTATAGACATGGCCAATTCCATTCAATGAGAAAAGGTGGTTATTATTGTATTGTATGCAAAAATAATATTTATTATCTTGAGATAAAATATACAATGAATTGGCAAAAAAGCAATACAAAAAATTGATAATTATTATTTTCATTCAAAGGAATGACAAGCTAAATCAGTTCACTGGCCACTCAAAAGGTTCCCTATATCTGTAATAACTAATATTATGTTTTGTGAATGCAGAGGAAGTTTGCAGTCTCTGCTTCAGATTTTCATGCATTAGCAACCCCTGTGGCAGCCGGAGGGGGAGCTCCGCCAGTAGTAGGCCTGAAAGAACAAACAGCCAAGTCATATTATGAGACGGATAAAATGCTATAGAAACTCTGCAGCATAATTATTGACTTCACGGAATTAATAAAATAAAATATAAATAACATTAATTTTAATGATTTTCATTTTAAAAAAAAGATAAAACAAGTACTAAATAATATTTATAAGCATATAAAACAGATATTTTAAGGAAAAAAGAAAAGAAAAGAAAAAAAAAACATAGCGGAAAGTTATTCTGACTAATAAATTTTTAACGAGAAGCTATTGGGGGGGGGGGGAATTGAGAGAGTCTCCATTCCACTGGGCAAAACAAGGAAGGCAGAGGAGAAGCTACTTACAGTCCCACAAACACTTTGAAAGAATCATAGATTCCCCATTGTGCTCCTGTTAGCGTTCCAATCATAACTATACGAAGAGGAAGGCCTCGAGTGAAGAGACCCCACAGCCCCATGTTCTTCACAGCCTGCAAAATCCACCAATTAAAATTCTCAGTCACAGCAATCATCATTATCAACAATGTAACTCAGTCCTGCTCTGTTTTTATCTACAAACTCTCCAACCAATCAAATCTAATCTACATAACAACTTTCGCTATAGAGTAATTTTGGACTTACATCACCAACAGTGGCTCCTTTGGCATTGTTGAGGAGAAGAAACGAGGTTATCAGCAGGGTGAGAGACGAGTGCACAGAAAATGCCGCCCAAATACCCTCCTGCATAACTCACTCCAAGTTGCACAGCAGTGCTGCACTGCTCTTAGGGGTAGGGATGATATGTTTGTACGTCATCTCCACAATATTCTCAAAAGTAGAAAATTTCATCATCGTATCTGAAAGCAATAATCAATGAAAAGCCTAAGTACAAACACTAGGGAAGCAAGAAGATGAGAGCCATACAGTCTAACAAAGACGGAAGAAACCCAACTTACATGGAATCTGACGCCCCCATAAAGGAACAAGTCCCTTGTACAACCTACACATTGAAAATTGGATCAAACTGAGATTCAAATATAAAGACCTGATAGAATGGAATACTAGGTTCCACATTGATAGTATTTAGTTCTCACATCTCAACAACTAACTTTTGTTCCTCATCCTACTCAATGTAAAGTGATAGAGGCAAATGAGATGAAATATCACCATACCCAAGAGCACCTTCAGCTCTGACAATCTTGGGGAGACCATCTGCTAAGCCACGAGCAAAGCTAGGCTGAGTCTGTACGCGAACTTTGACAGCTTCCATGGGACAAAGGGCAACATCGGCAATGACCTCTGCTGAAGCTGAACCAGCAAGGTATATCAATGTTTTGTACTTGGCTGCATACTCAGGGCCAGCAATGTCTGAGTAGTACTTCTTGAAAAAATGCCGGCCAAATACCCTCCTGCATAACTCACTCCAAGTTGCACAGCAGTGCTGCACTGCTCTTTAGGGGTAGGGATGATATGTTTGTACGTCATCTCCACAATATTCTCAAAAGTAGAAAATTTCATCATCGTATCTGAAAGCAATAATCAATGAAAAGCCTAAGTACAAACACTAGGGAAGCAAGAAGATGAGAGCCATACAGTCTAACAAAGACGGAAGAAACCCAACTTACATGGAATCTGACGCCCCCATAAAGGAACAAGTCCCTTGTACAACCTACACATTGAAAATTGGATCAAACTGAGATTCAAATATAAAGACCTGATAGAATGGAATACTAGGTTCCACATTGATAGTATTTAGTTCTCACATCTCAACAACTAACTTTTGTTCCTCATCCTACTCAATGTAAAGTGATAGAGGCAAATGAGATGAAATATCACCATACCCAAGAGCACCTTCAGCTCTGACAATCTTGGGGAGACCATCTGCTAAGCCACGAGCAAAGCTAGGCTGAGTCTGTACGCGAACTTTGACAGCTTCCATGGGACAAAGGGCAACATCGGCAATGACCTCTGCTGAAGCTGAACCCGCAAGGTATATCAATGTTTTGTACTTGGCTGCATACTCAGGGCCAGCAATGTCTGAGTAGTACTTCTTGAAGAACTCATAAAATCCATACTTGCAAGCTCCCTGAGCACTGTAACCCACCAAAGTTGGCGCCCAACCCTTAAAAGACCCTTGATACCCTGCTCCCGCGTAACAACACCGAATCCTGACATGATGCTTTTATACTTTCCTGGATCGATCTAAAAATAACAAGGTTTATCAATATATATATATATATATATAATGTTTTGCTTAATGACTAGAGAAAGTTATCAGAAGATGCAGACATATTTCCCGGCATGAATATAGGCCTATCTACCACACAATAAAGGTTTTGGGTAGAAAACCAGAGATCTTATATGCACATGCCCTTCTGTTCCTATATACAAGTCACTTGGATTCCATTCTTGCATACCAAAAAATGCATTAAAATGATAAATTTTTTCACACTTGCTCCCATTATGTTGAAAAAAGATAATTAATTACCCCTACAAGTGACTTATATTTAGAAACAAGAAGTGTACTATACATACATATACATACACACACACATACACAGCTTTGCACTATGAGAATGATCCTAAAATTGGTAAAATATAGATGGTTGGTGGAGGATGGATGCTCGTTAACAAGAACCACAATCATAATTCCTTAAAATGTAAAATCAAGTATCAAATGGAATTTCAGGATTCAATTCAAACTCTTAACCAAAAACCATTTGAATCAAAACCAAAATAGTTGATATTGACACAACGTGTAACAGACGCCACAAGATTGTGTACTACATATAATAATGTTTAGATTCAAGGTGTTATGCTTCTTAAACCGTATCTAGTATGATACGTACGGGCATTGCATAAATTGGACACAAGATAGAAACAGAGGAATCAGAGCATGCCTGCATGTTACACTTCACAACATCGAGAGGAGTGACGGCCATGTGGGTAGGACCAGTACACAGCAACCCTCCGACTCCACATGCGGCGAAGTAAGCCGGGAGAAAACAACTCGATCTTCTCGTTGGGCGACGGGATCACAAAACTCCTTCCCGGCGGCGGCGGGACGGATGATGATGAATTCGAGCTACACAGGACGACGTCGTCGGTGACAACCGTGATTCTTGTTCATGAAACTATCCAAGTGGAAGAGCCTCTTCGATGATGACGGTGATGAGTAGAGAAATTGAGGGACGAGAGAGTGGCGAGACTCGTTGGAAGGAGCCATTGACGGGTTCTTCAGAGGCTGAATTGAACTGGGAGAAAATCTGAAGGCTTGTGGTTAAGAAATGAAGTTGATGGGTTTAGATATTGAAGACGAATGGCTCTCTCAAAGAAGGGCCGCTTTGAATTGGCGCCCTCTTATAACGGTTACTGCTGGGAGACGTAGTTGACCGTTGACCATTCCGTAGATTCGTCTCATTCCTATTCTTTCCAGATAGGTTTTTTAAAAACAATTTATTATTGGCAAAATGAATCTATATACTTTTCGTTGCTCGTTATTAATTAATGTTAGCTTTCTTGGTTTGTTTTCTTTTGGGGTAGATAGAAAAGCTACGATTTTCTATACAATCACAAGAACAATACAAGTATATATATAGGACAACTAACGGAATTGGGTCTAGCGGAAGGGACTAGTTCTTCACAACATGACGAATCAAAGCTCGAATCCCTACTAGAAAGGTGATCACATTTAATGCCTGATAATATCTCGAATAAGATTACCTTCAAAGGAGAATACCTATGATTTAGCAAAAAAAAAAAAAAAGTATATACAGGACAGAGCATATCATAATTTCTGTTTATCTAACTTAATGAATCCCTTCCATTGTAAAGGGTTCGGTAAACAGGGAAAGAAAGAGATCGATATTAACTTAATAGTTATTGAAAACTTGCGTGCATTTATATGTAATAATAATTCAATTTATAGCTCAAGTTGCTGATGATTCTATACTTAATTATAATTTGCATAGTAAACACATAATAATAATATATAGAAAAGCCGTCCATCCAAAGTGTTGGGAGAAAAATAAAGATGCGGTGAATGTGTATATATTGGTTGGCCAAAAAGAAAAAAAGATAGAGTGTATATAAATATATTAATGGTCAATTCAAAGTTCAAAGTGTTGGCAACAAAAAAGAGAGATAATTACAGCATATGCGTAAAACCGTTTGACTGATGAAACGCTGAAGGGGTGGCTTTTTTTTTTTTTTTGGGGTCAAATTGAAGGGGCTGGGTTTGGTGCACGCTTGAGGCGGCTTTGCGTGGAGTTAAAGGCTAATATCACATTACATACGTAAGTGAGGATGTCAAAGTTCACCCCAAATTAGCTACGTAAACACATGCTGGTTAAAACAGGAAAAAAAAGAAAAAGAAAAAGGCTACGTCAACACGCTTCCCTTGTAAAACTAGGCTATCAATTTCCGTTCTTCATATATCATTTGATATTATCCTCCCTTCTTAATTATTACTTTCTATATTTAATATAAGACTAAGATAACTAATTTAAAAATATCAAGAAAATTAGTTAAATTATTTATCTATGCCAAATATGTGATAACTTTCTTAAATTATCATATTCAACCGTGTATTTTGGAATTATTATTCCTTAGTGAGAACTCCTTACAATAAAAGAAGATATTTTGAGAAAAAATATTATAAATTCGGGAGACAATGAATTGAAGTTTTATATTTGTAATCAAATTCAACCCCCAAAATTAGTTTTTATATTAAAGATAGTATAAAACAAAGTTGGATACAAATTTGACATGATTTTCATAAAATACGTCCATACAATATTGGATTATATTACTTTTAGTCCTTAATATAAGATTTAATTGAGTAATTTGAAGAGATTAATAAATTATTATAATAAATAGGTATTTCTTTCCTAAAATATCCTTGCTAATCATATATATTAGTCAGAATTACTATTTGATAGAACATTTAACATATACAACTACTTCAAGGAACACTTTAAAAAAATACATAAATATAAAAGATAAAGTGGACTGGAGTTTTATATTTAAAATCAAATTGAAAGTCAAATAAATTTTTATATTAAGGATTGGAGGTAGTATATCTATTTATTGAGTTATATGAATTAATTTGTAAAAAATAATAAATATGAGAGATAAAATTAATTAAATTCTTATACTTAAGAACAAAACTAACTCCCTAATTAATCCAACATTTGCAATCGGTGGAGTATTTTTTTTTCCAATGTTCCTAATAAATATATGAAAAAGTTAGCCCACATTAAAGTGTAAAACATTTGATATTAGTGTTAAAAAAAACAGAGCATTGATTAGGGGCATGTAGCAATGGCATAAATGATCACTAGGTAATATCTCCGGTTCTTAATATAAAAGTTTGTTTGACTTTTATTTTGATTCTAAATATAAGACTCTAATCTATTTATCTCTCTTATTTTTTTTCAAGGTAGTCCTTATAATAATGGTAGTTCTAACCAATGCACTTAATTAGCAAGATATTTTAGAAAAGATAACACATATTTATTACAGATAATAACTAACTGGTTTTTTTAATGTGTTCAAATTAATTAACTAGGTATTATATTAAGGTATGGAGGTAGTATAACTCAAATCGATAATATTGGACCCTTTATATTGAAAGTTCCAAACTCAATACATTCAATAGAGTCAACTTTTTTGAACTAGCATAGCTCTTTTCCTTTTTTTTTTTTTTTCTGGCACAGAAACAACATGACTCTGATTCCATAAAACTTAGAAAAATGTAGAATTGGGCCTCTGTCCCTGTGTGTTGCCTGGCCCCATTCTCTTGAGTCAGTTACAGGACATGACGGGAAAAAATGATTTTTCATTGATTTGGGTGCATCCTATTGTTCATGTTGATGTGTCAACATTCGAGGTGAAAAATGTTGATGTGGCAGTATTTGATGAAGCATCAAAACCAGAGTTCCCTGCAACTTCAGGTTAAAGGAGTGGTCTGCTGGTCAAAAAGGTTAAAGGACTAGTCTGCACTCCATCATGTGATCATTATCCTGTAAAATAATTGTTCACCTCTTATGTTAATACTTGATTAATATAATATCTTATTTAATTTTATTTTAATTTTAAATATAAGATTCTAATTTATTTTATCTCTCATATTTATATATATTTTTTAAGATAGTCATTCTAATGGTTATAGTTTTAACCAACACACTTGATTACTAAGGATATTTTAGGAAAGACAACATTAACTTATTTTCTTAATCTTCTCGAATTAGTCAACTAACTCTTATAATTAAACCAAAGGTAGTATTATTTTTTTTCCCATTTTATTCTCTGACCACGTACCTGTTCTGAGAAGGTTGTAGATGATTGAGGAAATGAAAGAGGGAGAATATCATAAAAATAAATTTGAAATTATTAAATTTCTTATTAAAGTCTGTGATTTAATAATTTCAAACCTCTTTTGTGAGATTGGAAAATGATTCAGTGATTACTTTTGTTTTAACCTTCACAAATATTCATTCTGCAGAAAGCACTCTGCTATTCTGAGTTGTTACGAAGAAATGTATGGTTTGAGAAACAATACCGAAGAAATTATGCAAATAATCTTATATTTAGAATTAAAATAGGCCCTAATTATATGGCTCGATTTCCAAATAGAGTGGTCCTGATGCTGGAGGCTATGGAAGTTGTTGGAGTCTACGATTCTAGATAGGAATATCTCTTCAATATGTATGCCAAACCACAAGCATCCACAATTTCCGCAAAGCCATGAATAGCACAAAGCCAACAAAATGAAGCAGAAGCACCATGTGATTATCTTATATAAACCCTCCACATCAAGAGTGGGCAGTCTGATGAACGAAGCTTCCTTCTCGATCCCAGAAATTAAAGAGCTAGGGACTTTACCTTTAAGCTGAATAACAATAATATCACCTTTAGTTCTTCATATAAGATTCATTTGAATAATTTGAGAAGATTAATGAAAATTAAATTACCTTAACTATAGTATTTATTACATGATCTTTTTAAAATACTTACATAGATCATTAGACTATATATCAATTTATAAATAAGAAAAATTAATTTGAAAAGAATGATAAATATAAATAGTTTAAAGAAATTTAGTAAGTTACTTAATTTTTTTTGAACTAATTAATTGTCTATTTGCAGGGTGTTTAAGAGCCAGAAAGTAACGTATATGTTTGATAAGTCAATTTACAAATTTGAGAGCTGTTTAGAGTAACTTTTATAGACTAAAAGCTACTTTTTTAAACATGATTGCAAAAGCATTTAAAACTTACTTATCATTTATACGCAAATAATTTTTTGAAATTAAAAGATATTTTTTCCTTTATATTTATATTGTTCTCATACTTTTATCTGTATATTCCTTGTACTTTCCTATCACTTTTTAGTTATTTATTTTTAATTTTTTTTAAATGCAAATAATTTTTAACATAATTTTTATAATTATCTTTCATTTTATATTTGCATAAATTGTGTAGTTATTTATATTTTCATTTTATAATTTTTTTAATTTTTAATATTATCATCTAATTAATTATGTAATACTACGTCCGGTCCTAATTATAAGAACTAGTTGACTAGTTTGAGGAGATTAAGAAAATAAGTTAAGTTGGTTATTTGTAATAAATATGTGAAAATATCCTTGCTAATAAAGTGTATTGGATAGAACTACCATTATTAAAAGGACTATATTGGAAAAAATTGTATAATATAAGAGACAAAGTAGATGGGATCTTATAATTAGGACAAAAAATACACTAAAGTCAAATGAGAGGTATTATATTAAGGACCAGATGTAGTATTATTTAGTCCAAAAATTTTACATTACTATAATTTCTAATTTAAATATATTTTATTCATTAAATATAACTTCTTCCAATTGTAATTATTTAAAATTATCATATTTTTAAATTCATTTTTTAATTGTTTTTCATTATTTAATAAAAATCATACTTACTTTGATCATTCTACAAACTAAATTTACTTATCCAACTATATTCTAAACAACTTTTTTATTTTACAAGCTAACTTTTATAAAAGACAATTCAAACATAAATCACATTTTCTAATTTAACTTTACCTAATTTAACTTTGTTAAAAGTCAGATTAAAAATAAGTTACTTTTGTTTACTGCCAATTAGTCCCTAACTAGTTCTTGCATTAAAAAATAGAGGTAGTATGTTTTTATCGCTTAGCTTGTTGGAGGTTTTAATTTGGTCATTAGTATAGTTTAGGGAGAGACAACAGTGATCTATGTGATTGTTGTGCTCCTCTTTGTTAACTTTCTTGTAAATTGGTGTCTAGTATGTTTTAATGTTTTATGCGTGCTTAAACATATATATTTTTCTTTTGTCATATATTACTCCTAATCCTTAACATAAAATATGGATAAATGAATTTTAGATATTAAAAAAATTAATTAGTTAATTATCTGTAAATATATGTTGGTTTAAAATATCTTTTTCAATCATGTGTATTAAAAAATTATTATTAAAAAAAACTTTTAACGTGTGAAATCACTAAGAATGCTTTGGAAAAAAAATTATAAATTCAAAAAATAAAGTTGATTCATGTTTATATTTATGACCAAAATACTACCTCCTATCTCTAATATAACAGAGCTAATTAGAGGTTGGGTTTGGTTTCAAATATAAAATTTTAATCTATTTTATCTTTCATATTATCATTTTTGTTTCAAACTATTCCTATTAATTATACATGTTAAAAAAGTTTATATCAAGTAGCAGTTCAAATGTAAATAATTTAAAAGGGTATTTTAGAAAAATACAAAATGCAAACAAATAACTAATTTAACTTGTTTATTTAATCTAGCCAAACTATTAGTTAATTAGTTAAGTAGATTTCATATTAAAGAGCAGGAAACTAAATCACGCGTGTAGCTCCTATTTTTATAAGAGAATATAATATAGGAAAAATAGCAAATAAAGACCTCTCAATATGTGAAATTATAATTTGAAACCCTTAATTTGAAAAATAGCAAATAAAGACTCAATCTCATATTATAAATATGAAATTTTGGTGTGAAATACCTGAAATGTCCCTCAGCTAAGTTGTGATTTGATTCATTAAAATTGTGATTCACTAAAGTGAACTTGTCATTTCCATAGTTAACTTGTCATTGGCTGAAGGGTATTTTAGACATTCATCAAGATTTTATATTTACAATATGAGACTGGGTCTTTATTTGTTATTTTTTAAATTAAGAGTTTCAAATCTTAATTTTATATATTTGAGGGGTTTTTATTTGTCATTTCTCAATAATATAATTGGGTATATTATCGAAGAAGAAAAAGCGGAATAACAGTAAGAAGCGCGACTGAGGCAAGCAAGATTGGGAAGCATATAGGATACAGCAGAAATTTGAAGCAAGTTTGAAGGAGCCCAACAATGGGAAGTGACACAACAGTTGGAATGCTTATTGGGAAAAAAAAAAAAAAAACTTGTGCATTAGGCATCCTCCTATAACAAACTTGGTTCACCGTATTACGGGTGACTGAACTTTTCTGTTATACACAGTCCCTATTGGTAACCTTAAGTGCATTTATTTTTCCATGTCTACGGTTAGAACAGGAAAAGAACCCATAAAGATTTTTTTCCAGAAGTAAATCAAGCTTTCGTCCTCGTGGGCTGTGCCATTTTCTGCATAAAGATTTTTTCCCCCCTTGCCCACACTACGCGCTTGCCAACTCATGTCCAAATGTGCCACCTGTTCGCACAAAGCATTCTCTCAATATTCTCTCTCAACCCCACATGCACACACGGTCTTCTTATATTCTCTTGTCTGTCGGGCGGTGCCATCCTGCGGCCCAACCGTGAGCCGACCCACTTCTTTTGTTGCTTTCACTTTCCTTGCTGTAAAACTCACACGTTACTCGGGCACAAGGCCACCCTTCATCTTGATTCGCTTATCTCGTTGCATTTGCATGTTATCATATAAGCACTTTGATTCTTGCTTCCAAGCAATGTGGGACATGCTGCTTTGACACCACCATGCATGCATGTTATAAATTTAGAAATTATAATTTAATTGAAATTACAAATGAGGCTATAATCTGACAAGTTATAAACGAACAAAACCTATGCACCTGTGGATGGGTATGAATTGTAAAGTATTCGAATGGGAGAACTCTCACCCGTTCTAAATTATTCGAAGGTTCGTTTGGTGGATATCTTTTCCCATAGAGATTATTAGTTAATAACGATTCGTCTTATTCCTAATCTCTTTGGATACGATGCACATGCACATGCCGCTTTGCATGGAGTTGAAGGCTAATATAGTAATATCTCATTATGATTAAATACGTAACCAAGCATATCAAAGTTGACCACAAAGTTAACTAGGACGCCTGCCCTATTAAAAAAGGCCATTGGATTCAGCGTTTGAGTTCTTGGTCATTGGATAGATATATCCTCCCCCGATCCTCCGTTCTTAATCATAAACAGTTTTGAAAAGTGGTGTGTTTGAATATTGAGGTGAGGAGGTTGCATTTCAATTTATGTCCGTGTTTAATTAGGCACAATAATAATGAATTATCCTGAAATTTAACTATAATATAGCCTGTTGGTTAGCATTGGTTGCTTTTAATTTCTTTTAAATAGTGGTCATCAAATTATTTATATTTGATATTGCATCTTGATGTGCCAATATATTAGACATGCCATACCCTTGGCACCCAAACAAATAAAGTTCTCATCCCAGCTGTTCAATTTATTCAATTGTCACCGACACGACATTTAGATAATTAAAAATTTAAAATGAATTCATCGTTTTGAAAGAGCAAACTAATTAAATACTGGCAGCTAATTCTTATACTTAATCCTAGCCACTAGTGATTTTTAATTTAAAGCCGCGTTCGCACAGGGGATCGAGTTTGAGCAAAGGCGGGGAACATCTCGTGGGAGGTGAAAGTATTGTTACTTTAGGGTTTTCCATTCATCTGGGTGCATTGCTATTCTTCTGTTGTCGTGTGATATGCATCTGCAGAAAGAAATGTAAGGTTTCGAGATCGTGAAGATTGCATTTTGAAAGAGCAAACTAATTAAATACTGGCAGCTAATTCTTATACTTAATCCTAGCCACTAGTGATTTTTAATTTAAAGCCGCGTTCGCACAGGGGATCGAGTTTGAGCAAAGGCGGGGAACATCTCGTGGGAGGTGAAAGTATTGTTACTTTAGGGTTTTCCATTCATCTGGGTGCATTGCTATTCTTCTGTTGTCGTGTGATATGCATCTGCAGAAAGAAATGTAAGGTTTCGAGATCGTGAAGATTGCATATTACTCAGTCTCAAAAACGCTCATGTTTCTATTCATTCGTCTCGTAAGAAAATACAAGCTGTGGGGTTTTCAATTTGGTGATTGATCTGCATTGAAACAAATTTTGTGCTTCTGGTTTCTGATTCAAGTACATATCTCAGTGTTTTCATTCCAGAAGAGAGTGGGATTGACCTTGGATACAGCACCGCCGGCTGATTATTTTGATCTCTTCCGTCCTTCCTACGGCTAAAAACCCTCCATCATCTAGCCTCTTCTCGTTCTCAAATTCAATACTACTTCAGTTCTTCGTGTGAAGTCTTAGGATATATTATATATATATGTATATGTATACACATATTTTGTCATGATAGTTTTGTATTAGCTTCCTTACAGGTCTTCGGTAGTCGGGTTTGCCTGGCGCTTTAGGTCTTCGGTAGTCGGGTTTTGCCTGGCGCTTTAGAGTTCCATCTCCGTCGAAGATAGGTTGATCACCGTGACCATCTCTATGGTAATGAGCAGAGATCTTGAGACAGCCCCTGATCAATAGTCCTTCCACGGCAGCAGAAGAGAACGTGGTGGTGTGGTCATGGGAGCCGCCGGGGCCGGAAAGTCCAGGCTATCCATCGACCTCGCCACCCTTTTTCTTGCACAAACCATCAACTCCGACAAAATGCAAGTATACGAAGGCTTTGACATAGTCACCGATAAGATCACCAAGGAGGACCGACGAGTGGCTCCTCACCATTTGTTAGGAATTGAACAGAGAGCCCGGCCCCATCTCATTTCACAGTCTGCCCTTTCCGTAGACGCGTTAATGCCCGTGCTCGATCACTTCTTGGCCAAACGGGTCGATCAAATGTTGAAGAGTGGAATGGTAGATGAAGTGAGACCATTTTTCAGTCCAAAGGGAGACTATTCCCGAGGGATTAGAAAAGCTACCGGAGTTCCTGATGAGTTGGATCAGTATGATCCATTTTCAAATCGAATCATTTATTAGGGATGAAGGAATCAAGCCGAGGCTAAGGGAAGAATCGGTGAATGAAATGAAGAAAATAAAACATGTAAAAACTGGCAAGAAAGCAATCGGGCCAGGAAGATTCAGAATATTACCTAGATCTCAAAATACGAGTTGGATCCCTCCGACGTACGATGATCGGAAGGTGTCGGCGAGACATAATTGTCTCGATGGCTGGGTAAAGCCTTGTCACGGATCGAAATAAACCCCGACAGAGTAGAACTTGAGTTGCAGGAAGTGAAGCTCCATGTCCGCAATCCCTGATCAAAGCACAGAAATCCAGCTAGGGTTGGAATTGGAAACAGTGACTTGCGAGAACAGTGATCCAAATCCGAGGAAGAAAAAGAATTCGAGGATTAAAACTAAAAGTGAAACTGACCCTGACCGAGAAGAGATCGAAAGAAGCCTAGCAGTGGTGATCTCGGAAGGATAATAGCTAGATTTCATGGACCATCACTGTTTCAGTTTTAGCAGCCGCAGCGACTACTGAAAATCACAAAAGGGTTACATGTAAGTGAGCAAGCAAAAAGGGGAGCGAGGCATTTCAGAGAGATAGAGGTGTCTTACGATAATCCCAATTGCGTTTCGAAAGTACTGATCCAACTCATGGTGAGGAAACCCTCGTCGGTCTTGCTTGGTGAGATCTTGTCGGTGACTCCGTCAAAGCCTTGCATTTTGTCGGAGTTCATGATTTGTGCAGGAAAATGGGTGGGGAGATCGATGGAGAGCCTCGACTTTCCGGCTCCGGCGGCTCCCATGAGCACCACCACCTTCTCTCTCTGCCGTGGAGGGACTATTGATAAGGGGTTGTCTCATATTCTCTGCTCATTACCATAGAGATGGTCTCGGTGATCAACCCATCTTCGATACAGACGGAACCCTAAAGCGCCGGAAGAACCCGACTTGCGAAGACCTACCTGTAAGGAAGCTAACAGAAAACTATCAGGACAAGATATGTGTATATATATCCTGAGAGCTCACAGGAAGAACTCAAGTAGTATTGAATTTGAGAATGAGAAAGGCTAAACGGGGTATTTATAGCGTAGGAGGGGCGGAAGAGGTCAAAATGATCATCAACTCTATATTTCACCAGCCGATCACTCAGGCGTATTAAAGAAGCCACCTGGCGGTGTTGGGCAATATTCTGATAATATTTATGAACCGTAGATCTAGGAGGGGGTGTTTTTAAATAAAATATTTCACTACAAGATTATGTTCCCTGAAATAATTCATTCAAATATATTTATATCTATATTTAAAATTATCAGTTACATTTAACCTAATATCAGCTTCTGACATCAAAACAAAACTGGTTATAGCAAATCAGTTGAGACAAAGTATTAAAAAAATTATATATAACCTTTGGAAGTAAAAGTAACAGCACGAAAAAACATTGTGGCTCAATTTTCCAGCTGTTGGAAGCGAATGACGCCGTAATTTCAGGTTCCTATTACTGAATACCGAATAAAAAGTAAAGGTAAAGACAAAGTGGTCCTAGTGCTAAAGACTGTGGTAACTGTACGAGTGCATAATTCCATTCTATTTTTAATATTAATTGTAAGATCTTATTTATAATTTATAAATAAAATCTTATAATTAAAATTAAGTATAATTTGTTGATCCCTCAAATTTAAATTATAATTTTGGTTGTTTAAGTTTCTTTTTATTTAAAATATTAATCTTTATAACTCAATAAAATTTTAAATCATTTTGCCCTTTAAAGGACTAAAACTTATGATTTGAAATTTGAAGAATTAATACTTCCGATCCTTAATATACGACCTTGTTTAATTTTTTTTAGTCCTAATTATAAGAACCCAATTCACTTATCTTTTTATTTATGTATTTTTTCTAAGATAGTCCCTCTAATAATGGTAGTCCTAGCCAATAAACTTGATTAGTAAGGATATTTTAGAAAAAACAATACCTATTTATTACAAATAATTAATTTAACTTGTCGTACTAATCCCTTAATTAACATAAACAGGTTTTAATTACGTATAGCAAACGGCAAGCATCCAAAATATCTGCAAAGGCGTGAATAGAATCATCTAAAACCTCCACGTGGACTACCCAAATTGGTACGGTGGAGGAATCTGGACCCATTTTTCGGATTGCTTTTACCCCCCCCCCAAAAAAAAAACCATTGTTAAGCACGGTTTGTGTGTGATTTGTACATGAGTTTTATTTCTTGAATCAATATCTTTTATTTAAATATTACTTATATATTCAGAAACCCAATCTCAATTTCAGAAACCCAAATCGAAAAGATCCAAATTTCAAAACTAAAAATGACATTTGCTAGCCCTTTTAGGGTGTTTGGATGTAACCAAATTATGGTTTGAAGAATAGCTTCTAGAGAATAGATTCTGGGGAGAATAGATTTTTTGAGAATAGATTTTGTAAAAAAGTGATTCTGAGAAGTGAGAGTGTTTGGATAGTTGTTACCAGAAGCACTTTTTACATGTACAAATTACTAAAAAAGGCATAAGTTAATATGATACTTATAGAAAAATATATTTATGATATATTTTAATTTGAAGGAATAAAATTGTTAATATATTTTTTTATTAACATAATTAATAATACATAAGATAATATAATTAATAATTAATTATATGTATATATATTTATAAGATATAAGATTAAATATATTATAAAAAATATGTTTATAAAAAAACAACAAGATACATATCCTATAGGCTCTCATACTCTCCCTTTTTTTTCCAAAAGCAAAAATTTTTTTACTTTTCCCAAAACCATGGTTTTGGTTTTTTATAAGTGTTTGGGAGATTTTTTCCCAAACTATGGTTTGGGTTGGAACCGAAACACCCCTAATCATGATTGAAAGCTTAGAACCACAGTTGGATTATGGACTCTTAAATTATTGTCTCAACTAGTATTTTCAGCAGTTAAGGAAGCTAACAAATGAAGCGCCATGTGAATCATATCTCGTATAAACCGTTATAGTTTTTATTTAGGTTTTAAAACATCAACTTACTAAATAAACAATATTTTAATATGAAAAGTACAAATATAAGACTAAAATGTAAACTAATCAAATTTCATATGAACCACCCAAATAAGAAATGTGCACCAAATTAGAAGTGGCGGGGGAAGAGAGAGAATAGGCTAAAGGCAGTGTCGTAGATTGCAATACTACAACCCGTGAATCTTGTTCATGAACGTGTCTAAGTGGAAGCTTCTTCTTCGATGAGATGGTGATGAGTGGAGAAATTGAGGGACGAGAGTGTGGCGAGGCTCGTTGAAAGGAGCCGTTTGGTGAGTTCTTCAGAGGCTGAATTCAATTGCGAGAAAATCTGAAGGTTTGTGGATAAGAAATGGAATTGGGTTTAGATATTGCAGATGAATGGCTTAAACGATAAAATCCATCCGACCCCCGTAACTCGCTTTTATATTAAAGAGTGGAGATAGAATATAATGAAATCTGAAAAAATAAAGTGTTTTTATACATAAAATTATAATTTTAAATTTTAAGAAGTAATTACTTCTTTAATTCTTACTGCAAGATCTAGTTTCGTGATTAAAAAAGCTAAATAAATTAGTTAATTTTAAACAAATTTGACGTAATTTTCTTAAAATATCTGTGTAAGTACATTATACCAGTTTATCAGTTAGATAAATTAATTTGTGAAAATGATAAATTTGAAAGATAAAATAGAGGGAGGTCTTCCATTTAGATACAAAACTAACTTTCCAACTAATTCTTGTCTTTAGAACTATAGGAGTAATATTTTTCAAATGTTCCTAATAATACACTTTTGTTCTCAATATAAGATCCATAAAAAAAAAAACTGGCCCAAATTAAAGCGTAAAATATCCAAGATTATGACAGAAAGAAAGCAGAGCATTGATTAGGGGCATGGCTCAAAAAATTGAGGCAACTATAAGAAAAAATTAACCAATAAAATTAGTTTCATTTGCATGTGTGAATGAGTAATGTTGTCCTTGGAGAGTATTTTATTTTTGTATATAAATTTGCTAAATAATTGACTTCATCGACTGCAAAAGAACCAATTTAAACGGAGGATAAACTCTTAAGATTCACGGTTTTTAATCAAAACAAAGTCGTTTTAAAAGAGTCAACCCAGCTATATTCATGGTTTTCAATTTAAAAACACCATTGTCTTCCTCTTCACGTTGGCACAGGTGGAGTAATTAAACATTCCTTGAAGTGTCAACCCAATTGTAATAAATGATTCTGTAAGGGAATGAAATATACGAAAATGATTCAGTGAATTACGTTTGTTTTAACCTTCACAAATATTCTTTCTGCAGAAAGCACTCCGCTGTATTCCGAATTGTTACCAAGAAATATGTGGTTTCAGAAACAATACCAGAAAGAAGAATTATGCAAATGGTCTTATATTTAAAATAAAAATAAACCCCCAACTAATTTAGAAATGAAAGAAGTACTGTATTTACATGCATATGAACTAGAACTGTAGGATGACGCGTCTGGAAATCAATCAAGGAACAAAGCAAGAGCCAGAAAAAAACATTGTGGCTCGATTTCCAAATGGGGTGGTCCTGGAGCTAAAGGCTGTGGAAATCATATTGTTGGAGTCTATAACTCTATGTAGGAATCTCTTTAATATGTATGCCAAACTGCAAGCATCCACAATTTCCGCAAACCCATGAATAGTACAAAGCCAACAAATGAAGCAGAAGCACCATGTGAACCCTCCACATGAAGAGTGGACAGTCTGAATAATGAAGCGTCCTTCTCGATCCCAAAACTCAAAAAAGAAAGAAAAAACTAGGAAGTTGACCTGAATAACAATTATTATCTTTCATCCGTTAACTTGTTGGAAGTTTTAATTTGGTCATCAGTTTAGATAGTTACAACAATGGTCTATGTGGTTGTTCTGCTTTATTAATTTTTCAGGAAATCAACAACAGGATTAGGTCTAGCAGAATAAACTAATTTCTTATAACGTGACAAACTAATGTTCGAATTC